GATGCTATCAAGCAAGGATGGTTGCTGAAGAAAGGCAGTGGCTCAGGAACACTGGGAAGGTATTAATAACTATTAATAACCATTAATAACTATTAATAGCTAATATTAATAACTATTGTTGATATTCTCTTTTTTTTAGACGTAATTGGAAGAAGAGATATTTTGTGCTTCGTGGGAAGACTATAACTTATTACGGAGAGGATGATCTTGAAAGTGCCAAACCACTTGGAGTCATTGAACTCAGTGAAGTCAGGTATTCCGACCAATCAGATTCACCCAGTCACATGTTGTGTCCTTTAGTGGTATACTAGAAGAGGGCGGGTCAAGGGAGCACTCGTTTGGTTTGGTCACTCCCTCAAGAACCTACCACCTGACGGCTGACACTGATGTGGATAGACGGTACAGCAACACTAATATCTAATTAATTAATTAATTAACATTTAGTGAGTGGGTGGAGTTTATAAGACGAGTGAGAGGTATGCCGGAAGAGAAGGTGAAGTCCCTCCTCACTCACGAGGTTGATCCTCGTAATGCCGAGGGAACTATTGATCTTGATTCCATTGATTCCGTCACAGCTGCCGATCAAGAAAAAAGGTGTGGCTTTATTGTGCTGCCATGCTCATTCATAAATACATTCTTAGGCCTAATTCTTTTGCTGTGATAACTGTTGGGCGTGTCTTTAATCTTGTAGCTGAGAGCCCAGCTGCTATGCATCAGTGGATTGGAGGTATACATATACATGTATTTCTTAAAATTATTGTCTGCCATTTTCTATTCTATTTTAGCTCTTTCTCCAAAGAAGTACACACTAGGTGACATTGACATTCTTACCAGCTGCCAACACAAAGGTACGACATGTCACGTGACAGTCACATGACCTGTAATATGGTCTTTAGGTTGGTTGGTGAAAGAGGGTAAGATTAGACGCCGAAGGTTCTTTGTCCTAACGGAGACCAATCAGATCCAGTACTTCAGGACGGAGGACACCAGGCAGCCGGTGGCTGGGAGCATTCCATTAAACTGCTTGTGTGCTGTTGATCTTTATGATGATGATGAAGTCAAGGAAACAGGTTTGACTGGTTTTATGAACTTGTTTTGAGAGTTTTTCCTTTTAGGATTGTACACGTTTCGGCTTCACAGTAGAAAGACGACTTATTATTTGACAGCTAAAACTGCTGACGAGGCACAAGAATGGATTGTTTCGATACAATATGTAAGTCAATTTAAACCACATCAGATGTACTGTACATGTAGTTTTCTAGTTTGTTATGTTGTATTTCAAGTTTGAGCTGATTCTGATCACATTTAGATTTTTTATGAATTTTTAAACTTGCTCTAAAATTGGGTCAAAGTCCCTGTACTATTAGTAACGCGGTAGCGTTACTAAGTAGGATTCACCCCCAAACAAAATGGCTGCCATGACTTTTGCAGCCTTGCTATACCTGGAAAACGAGCTCCTATGCTTACCAGACTTTATAGAGGACCTTATCTTGACCAGAGGACTCCAATGGTACAACTAGCATGGCTCTATACCTTGTCTAAGCGAAAAGTCAAAAATCGGCGAACCGGCCGTTTTGTTCAGCCACCTTTTTTCATCTTCATCATCATCTTCTTCATCATCAAGTCCTGTCAATCCAGTTGTCGGTGTGTATCTCAGTATCAGTTGGTGCTACAAGAATAATTCTTACACCAATCTATTCCAACAGTCTATGCGCAGGTCCATGTCCCATCAGATCATTCTTCAAGTAAGGAAAAAGTGATACTGTGACTGCTGGATCGAGCCATCTTAGCTACATGCCGCCATTTTGTTAATTAAAGAAGCTTGCCATGTGCTCCAAAATTTGGGTGTGGTCGCGCATGCTCAGATCTGCAGCTCTGGAAGAAGCAAGTTATTTTACCAAGGATCAACTTACTGCAATACTTTAGTGGAGGTTTCCAGCTAAAAGAAGGTATTGATTTTACATGTTACTGTTTTATCAAGTGTGTTATTTTATTTTATTAAAAAAAACAAACAATTAATTAATGTTATGACTTATGATATGCAATGATAGTATGAACTTGACAACAGCCTGGAAGAACAGGAAGTCAGGAATAGCAGGGAAGATGGACACTCTTAGCTCACAGATTCTTGAACAAGGACTTGTGTCAAGACTAGTATTAGTTTCACTTGTCATCTGTATAGTTGATATTCCTTCACTTCAGCATG